TAACTTAAATAAATCCATGAAATATATGTACTGAGGTTTTGTCTTACTATTGTATGAATTCATTTCAGCTATTCTACTTTATTTAAGCTATTTTGTGATGTTTTGTGGAATTTTTTTGGCTGCTTTGACAGAATAATTTCTCAGCTGTAGATTTTATATATTTTATCCTTTAAAATCGAGCATCCACTACAGTATGGCTCTTTTAGCAGAAGTAAAAGTGATTCCTTGAATGAGACACCTTTAATAAGATATCTACAAAATAAGACCAGGAATATATCTGTGGGGGCAGGCTTTTACGACACTAAATATATATATTATTTGCATTTGGGAATAATGAGGAAACCCCTGCATTCACATATGAATTTAATCTTCATGTGAAAACAAATGCTAATATGTGGCGGATAAACATAAGCTCTTTCACATGGATGTATCCCAGAGGGTGTATTAGATGCACCACATCTAATACACCAAAACATCTGTGTGCTACAGCAGGACTTTACTAGTGGTTCCACTGTTAGATTTCTGCTACTGTGACAAATATCATGTACTATCTTGCTCCCTCCCTCTCGCTCTCTTCTTGTCAAGCTCCCTCGTCGCTTCTCATTCCCTCTGTGTCCAAATTAAACACAAGGCGCAGGACACTCTGATAAGGCCATCTGTTCGTATCTCCCTCTCTCAATCGCTCTGCACTTTTTCTTCTTATTCCGTCTGACAGCCTATCGCCCCTTGCTGAAACCATAGAGCACACCTCTATGCATTTCTCTTCTTCTTTTCATTTCTCTACTGGCTGATCAGACCATTAAATCCCATCGGTGAGTGGCAGGCAGGAGCAGTAACACTCTGTAGCGTTGGACTTGTCATCGAACGTTTAATTGCTAGGCCGTGGGTGTAAAAGCAACACATCAGAGTGTGTGATGCTACAGTTCAATTAAAGTTGCATGAGGTGCCTGACGTTCCTCCGCCGCCTGCAGTTTAGAGTGATCCCGAGATTCGCACGCATACACACATATTCACACAGACCTCAGCCCTCGTGCCTCACAGGGAGCTCAGAATCTGACTATGAAAATGAGTTTGTGATAAACTCATCACAAAGCTTAACAAATAGAGCCGGCAAAGAAGAAGAGTAGGGGAGGGGGGAGGATGAGATTGGGGGGGGG